AACATACAAACCCTTATTCTATAGAAAATAAAAGTTACAAGGAAATAAAATTAAATAATTTTTCATATCAAAAGATTTATATTAAATATATAGGTCATAATTTTGTATAATTTTTTTTTAATCTTTACTAATATTTTCATTTTTTTCTTTTAAAACGTGAAAATAAAATAAATATAAATATAATTTTATTAAAAATAAGTAAATTTAATTTTAAAAAAAAAACAATAAAAATAAGTAGAGTCACGTTTTTTTTCTTATTCAACAATTCTAATTATAACAATACAACTAAAAAGTAAATATATAAAAAAATAAATTATTTAAACGCACATCCTAAACACTCATGCATATATCAAATTAACACTCATGCATATACCCCACTGAGAGAGGTAGTGCTCTCACGGAGTGCTTTTATTGTCTTCTTTGTTGAAAAATTGACTGATATCAACCACATTCTAAAATACCTACAACTATACATATAATATTTAATTAACCACCAATCATACATTGATTGTCGGTGTTTGTACCCCGAGGATATTGTTGCTTATGTGCACTAAAGATATACCTCAGTGTAATTTTTATATACCTACAATATAAAGTCATGCTCCGCTAACGCGTATCTACGCTTTGGATATGTATGGTTGGAAAAATGGGTCGTGTTTAATTCAAAATATTCAATTGGTCTTAGTAACAAGAGATAAATTATCATTATTGTGTTCTCACGACTCCTTGACATGTAAGAAAAGAACACATGTTTACTATAGATGGCTAAACAAATAAGAAATGACGTTTTTAAGTTTGTTGGTTGTTACTCATTCATCACTACTCTCACAAATTGATTGTTTTTTAAACATATTACGTAGTAATCCACACCGTAGTACACACAACAACATTTAGTTCACCAAGGTTGAGAGATGAAGTGTTCTCACCGAGTACGCGAATTAGCCCCTCTCCATGAAAATAACTAAATTTAACTACACTTGAAGATACCTGATAATACACAAATAATACCTAAGAAATCATTATTTATACCTCGCATACAGGTGTTTGTACCCATATTACTTTCTTATGTACCTACATAAAATATCTACATACCCTAGGACTGATCTTAATTACTTATAATAATAGTCTCATATGCTTCAGTAAAGGAGTATATATGCTCTAATAACATGTGGTTGGAGAACGATCATTTTTTGTTCAAAATATTCACTTGTTGATGGTAACTAAGGATGTGTTCATTATGATAGTCTTCCTGTGACACCCCAAATTTTCAGAAAATGTAAACAACACATATTTATTATGAATGGTTAACCAAGTCAAGAATGACTTCGATAAGTAATATGATATATGTACTATTATAGTTTAACATCAACTAGTAGATGTCTAACAAAGCCATAAGTGACTAAGTTGAATTATATTGGTTGTTAGAGTAAATGATTGCTACCACAAATTGAAAATCTTTAGACCTATTACATATTGATTCACACCGTAGCGCACACAACAACTTTTGGTAAAGGGCATCTAAGCATAGGGTCTAACTCGGCTAAGCAGGTGAGTACTCCAGAGCAGCTATGTCGTACCCTCAATCTGATTTCATGTACGAAATTCTACTAGTTGTGTACCTACCGCAGTTTTTTATGTAACTGAACATCATAATCTCATGACAGTTTTCTAACTGTGTACCTTCATAGCTCATGTTAATACTTGTTATGATTTAGCATATGACCAAAAGTGACCTTGATAGATTGGTACCTACGCTACCACGCTCATGTGCTTCGATACATCAATTGTACACTCTCTAAATTGATTCATATGGCTCTGATACGTTTTCAGAAACCTATAACTTTAAAGTATCATAGAAAAATGAGCACTATCACATATTTGTTGTTCGTGTCTATATACGTTAGTACATTCTCCCGTTTGTCTTAGTGTATTAATTACAATCAATTGTGTATGGGTCTAATGGATACAACACAATAAGCTCCGATTACTTTATACCAATTCGATTATTATTTTTTGAGACTTCATTGACCTTGATAGCACAGTAATACCATACTACAATATTGTGCTTTGGCAGATCAACTACACACCCAACAGATAATTTGTGTGCCTCTATTATGTTTCCTGATACGTGTGTAATTGAATTATCATACACTAAAAGGGACTGTCAAATATTCATTGTTGGTGTTCATGTACCACAATATATCCAAGTGAGGTTTTGCTGTTGTATATTTACAAACAATATTACATTATATCAAGTATGCCAAAATGGTTCAAACCGCCGGTTACAGTTTATCAAAATGTCAAATTAAAGTCGAACTTTCTGAATGACGGTTTCGGTTATGGTTTGATGGTTTTTATTACGGTTTAAAAAACTGACGGTTACGGTTTGAATAACCGATTTATGTACATTCATTTTTAATATTTTTCTTTTTCCATTTTAAGTTTTTCTAAATTTAAAAATTTATTCAAAAATAATTATTTTCGATTTTAATTCTATTCAAATATATTTATTAGATAATTAAGTTAAATTTTAACAAAACTAAATTTTAAGACATTGATGTGTATTAGATAATAAGATAGTTTAAATTAAATTTAATTGTACGATAAGAAATACAAAATCTAAAATATAAATATACAAAATAATGTATATTATTATATAATTAATAATTAGTTATTTTTATTAATATCAATATTATCTTTTTTTATAACAATTTAATTATATATAGTAATTTTAATTATAAGTATATTATTATATAATCTACAATTTTAGCCTTAAACATCCACTCTCCACATTCTACAACCATGGCCGCGGTGGCAGTTGTAAGGGTTCGTTTTTTTGTTTTTATTTTTTTTTTTCGTATTTTCTTCTTTTTCAATTTTTTTTCTTTCTTCTTTCCTCATTCTTCTTCTTCACGGTCGCCGTCCGCCCATAACATTCCATAATCCACAGTTGTAGCCACGAGTGCAGGTTCAAATAAAATAAAATAAAATAATGGTGGAACCGCTGGTTGAAAACATAAACCGGTGGTTTGAACCAGCAGTTCGCAATTTGACAAATATACAAACCGTAACAAGTGATTCGAAAACCGGTGAACCGGAAATTCGGAACTAGATGGACAAGTTTAAGCTGAATATGCTATAACTATATAAAATAAATTTGGAAACATTTAAAGATATAAAAGAGAGACTAATACTAAACTAAATAAGTAAATGAGGTGACATGGATTAGGATCATCTCCATGAATCAAACTCGAAGACAAGTATCTAATATGTATTCGGGAACTTACAAATGCTGAATCGAAAATCGAAATAGAAATAGGATAAGTTGAATTCCAAAAGCAATCACTCCTCTCGAGCAAGCACTTTCGAGAATCCATGGACTGTTTGAGGCTGCCGATGCATCTTCCGTCTCTCACGCAATTGCATCCGAAGCTCAACAATGGAATTGCCCTCTCGGCGGATGGAATCACTCCAACTCTAAGGAATGTGTGTAGATTGTAGAGCAATAAATGCGATTACCATTAAGTATAGACATCTTATTCCTAGATTAGATAATATGCTTGATGAACTTCAGGGTGCTGCTCTTTTTACAAAAAATTATCATAAAAGTGGTTACCATCAGATAAGAATGAGAGAAGAAGATGAGTGGAAAACTGCTTTCAAAACTAAGCTAGGGCTGGATGAGTGGATTGTCATGTCTTTTGGCTTAACTAATGCCCCTAGTACTTTTATGAGATTGATGAATCATGTTCTTAGATCTTGTATAGGAAAGTTTGTGGTTGTTTACTTTGATGACATCTTGATCTATAGTAGGACATGTCTGCACACATTGAGCATGTGAGAAAAGTGTTCACTTTATTGTGGCAGAACAAACTATATGCAAATGTTAAAAATGTGCATTTTGTATTTCTAGTTGTCTATTCCTTGGCTATGTTGTTAGCGCACAGGGAATACAAGTTGATGAGGAGAAGATCAGAGCCGTCCAGGAGTGGCCTGTCCCTACTACTGTTCGTGAAGTTCGTAGATTCCATGGCTTGGCGGGATTCTACCAAAGGTTTATTCGTGATTTTAGCACTACTGCAGCCCTTCTCATTGTTGTTATTCGCAAGGATGAACTGTTTAGTTGGGGAGAAGCACAACAACAAGCCTTCGACAAACTGAAATATTTGTTAACTCATGCCCCAATTCTTAAACTCCCGAACTTTGAACTAACATTTGAACTTGAATGTGATGCTTCAGGTGTGGGCATTCGAGCCGTTCTAATGCAGAATCGCCAACCTATTGCATACTTCGGTGAGAAGCTAGGTGGCGCAGCCTTGAACTACCCAACTTACAACAATGAGTTATATCCCTTGGTCCGTGCACTTCAGGTATGGCAACATTATCTTTTGCCAAAGGAATTTTTTATTCACTCAGGTCACGAGTCCCTTAAGCATATAAAAACTTAAGAGAAACTAAATAAGAGGCATGTCAGATGGATTGCTTTTGTTGATACATTTCCCTATAAGATAAAATATAAGAAGGGAAAGGATAATGTCGTAGCTGACACACTCTCTAGGCGCAATCACATTCTTAATATTTTGACTTCTCAATTGCTAGGGTTTTCACATGTAAAATCATTGTATACTAAGGATAAAGATTTTTTTGACATCTTCAAATAAGTGTGCCAACATTGGGTTTAAAGTTTTCTATTTGCATGAGGGCTATTTGTATAAGGCTGACCAGTTGTGTATTCCACAAGTTTCTATTTGAACTGTTTTAACTCACGAAGTCCATGAAGGTGGACTCATAGGGCATTTTGGAGCCACCAAAACTTTTAACTTCACTACCAAAAAAAGGTCTTTTTGCAACGGTCAAATATTCGTAACTAAAACCCATTTTTCATGAAAAATAGCTTTTTGTGTCGACTTTGTTACGGATTTTGACTGCTACGAAAAATCGCGGTACAAAAAGTCCGTGTTGCAACAAAATCCGTAACAAATATTTGGTGGTCAACTCTTAAAATAAGCACGTGTTAATTATATTTGTTACAAGATTTGTCCGTAACAACAATACATTACAAAAAGACTGCCCCCTAACAAATAAGTTGTTTGTTACAAAATTAGTCCGCAACAAAAAGTCATGACAAAAGTCAGGCAACCATACATTACCATTTGTACTGGCCACTGTCTGTAACTAAAAATACACTACCAAGGACCTCCTTGTGTTGCATAGTAGTTTTGTCACCATAAATAAATTCCATTTGTCTGTATTATTAATCTGTGAGACAAATAATATAAAACTTAAACTTATCATAATTGTTTCCAAATCCATGGTAATACTACACATGGTCATCAATACAACGATGTTCATAGTCCATCCAAAAATATAATATTAGTCGTCAACGGTGCTAACAAAACATCCCAAGAAAACACCAATCCGAACACCAATATAACAACCTACTAAATAACGATACACTAAACCAAAAAGTAATACGTAAATAGATAAATCTGATATTATACAGAAGTATGATCTTAAGGGCAACTCATAAATACAACTATGAATGACCCAGCTTGTCGAGTGCAAAATCATGGAGGATGCAATCATGGGCGGCGAACCAACTATAATGTGTTTTTAATAATATATAAGCATTTAATACAAAAATTAAAGTAATTTAATTTCCAAAGGAATAAAGTAAACAAAAAAAATGCGTACATCCTGGTAAATCTACTCAATATTATCTCCGTCGAATACATCACCGAGAATTTTTGCTCCAGCATTAGTTGGAAGGATAAGTGTGGTCTCCGGGACTATTACAGCTATAACATACACCTTAACAATGGCTAGGGTATCACCTATATAAATAGGTTAAACGAGCGCTAGTTACGAGGAAGGTCTGCCTCTGTAAACATTATGGATGAATATAATAAAATAAAACTTACGCTTTAGCTTGATCAAGGGACCCTATCTTAAATAAAAGCATAGTAACAAATAAATTTGAAAAGCACTAATAAAATAGGCTGACTCCTGAACATTATGAAAATAAAAAGACACATGGACCATAGGGGCCAACTCCCTTTACACATATACTAATATTTATAAATCACCATGATCATAGATGGGCAATCCTTCAGTAAAAAAAAAAAAAAATATAGCTCTCCTATAGCAATAAATTAACCACCAATCAAGCCCTACAAATAACGTTCGACCATACAACTACCTTAAACCAAAATAGACATGTCCTACAACGATATAACTAGATGCTAGACATAACAATCTTACACAGGATCCATTTTATGTCCATTTCACATTGTACAACTACACAATCAAAAGGCAACTTATCAAGTGCAAACGAACCTGGTGCAGGGAGGCTTAGCATCACTCCTTCGCTGACCACACGTTTCTCCAGTCCTCGGGAGAGCAAACGAACACGTGTCACAATGAGTTTGAAGACAAATGTAATAACATTACGTGAGGGTGAAAACACAAAAAATTGTGTTGCTCTTAACAAATAGGTGTTGTTACCAAAATATCATCAGTCTTTTCATTATCCACGTGTTGTCCCTTGGTGCGGGATGCCATCCATATTTCCAGGCTATCGGGTTCTTTGCCTTTGGCCTTTATCTACTAGTACATTTATCTCGGCCTTACTAAAAAAGGTCATCCAAAAAAGAAAAAAATGAAGCAACAACATATACATGCAACAAGATTTGTAATGATAAATTGGAAAATAAAGCAGAGATAGACTCCCTTATAAGGGTATGCCAATCTAGTCAACTAGCAGCAAAAGATAGCAATGAATCTATACTACAACAATATATAAACCAGACCTGCATCACAAAATCAAGCTCAAAACTAGGACTTTAATTGCACTACTAGAAAAAGATTGATCTGGCACGGAAGAAATGGTACCAAAATCGCAACTATTATGCCAATTTGGCGTGGCATGTGTCACAGTTTCTATCCGGTACAGAATCTCGGTTCGAATGTTCTTAGTAGTGAACATCCAGACCAAAAATAAAAAATTTTGGTGCCACTATTGGAGCCATAAATAAGAAAAAAAAAAAGAGAGAGAGAGAGAAGAAAGTTGAGGTGCCGAAGGTAGTGCCATAACCTATACCAAAAAAGATTTTTTTTTTTAAAAAAAAAAAAAACTATTGGTGCTGAAAGCGGCACAAAAAAATAATTAAAAATAATTTTGGCATTAAAAAAAATTGGGAGCTAAGCCTTGCTGATCTTCCTCTAGCAATACATTTACCCCAGATTGTGTATGCTTGCCACTCTGAGTCTGAAAAAAAATCAAATAAGCTCACATATGAAAATTAATATAGATATATATATGTTTGTGTGTGACTGCCATAGAACCATACTTTTATTAAAAATGCACTGCAATAAATCCATAAGCAGACAGAGATGACCATACCTATCCATACGCAACGACGGAGCTGTTGAATTGAACTAGACAGTTTTCAATCAAAGGTACACTATTAGCTCGAATATGCTACTATGCAACACATTAATGAAAATGAATGATAATAAAATGCTTCACTTGCTACAACAATGTTGTATCTCAAAAAACATCAGTGCAGTTTGATATCTTCATTTTGCTTCACACATAGTCAAACAAATGGAGAACCTCGATTGTTATATAATACCATCAAACAGATCCTTTAGATTTTCAACATCTTTCAAAGCTAAAAGCTACTCAGAAATTCATCATCAGCAATAGAAATAATCTTCAGGTTGTTCCCAAGGATAAATTATCCGACCAAAGGAATAATGATTTGAAAATGATAAAATCAAGAAACACGCTTCCATAAGTGTGGACATGACTCCCACCTTTTATTCAATGCTGATGAGAATCTCTAATTCATTAGAATTTCACAATGAAGTGCAAACCTACTAATAAATAACAATTATATTAAACATCGACTAAAATTGAATCCAAGTTTAATTAACAAGTTCTACACCTAAACAACTAAATAAACACAAAACTAACTATAGATTTACAACCATACCAATCTAAGTTAATTAAAGGAGCAGCCCATCTTAGCCAAGGAAATCCAAGAAACAAAACAATGCAAATTATCCTACTGCAATAACATGGTTAAGGAACTAGACAGAAATTAAACAACCTAAACCAATCTAATCTAACCTACAACAATCAAGACATATACAAAAAAACAATCAAGAAGCAAACTTAAATATTATCAACATTCAAAGCCAAGAAAAACTTTCTTGATTGCAGAATTTTTTGTGGTGCAGAATTTGGGAGGGGGCTGAGGGGAGGGGCTGATCTACTAAATCCTCATACTTGCATCTTTTTTGCCTTCAAAAAATTGCGGTTGACACTGAGGAGGAGCTACAATTAATAGAGAGAAAAAAAATCAGCCATAAGGCTATTTAACATAGAGAAAAAAAATCAGCACAGGGGTAGAGCTAAAGCTAATTCCAACATCAACCAAAGTAAAACACATGCCATTTGTTAGGGCTAGCACAGTCTACTCTTAATTGCCAATATATAGTAGGCATATAAAAAAAAATGAATTTATCAAGCATTGTAAATTCCTATCACATTAATGTCATCTAAACCGAAATTTAGGCAAGCGGATGATCATAGCAAGCATGACAAAAAATAGTCATATCAATCAAATTTGATGTAAAGAACCGAATTAATCATAAAATAGTTACATTCATAATCCAACTACAAGCATCAGGCCAAATATATATATATAACTAGAGATTAAACAAGCATATAAGAAATTCAAGAATACAAAGAAAACATACAACACAGAAAAAAAAAAAAATATTACATTGATGTACCTTTGAAAATAATGGTAAAGCATCTAAGACAGTTTTATCAAGATTCATCTCTATCTGGAATTATCAAGGGCCAAGACTCCATTAGTAACTTTCTTTTGTTTAAAGCAGAAGTGTCAAGAGTACTTTATCATAGTGAATCATGGGGGACATAGAAAGTCTTTTCCCCATTATTTAGATTCAACACTCAATAGTTTCTTTTGGGAACTTCCGAAGAGCCTGAGACAAGCCAAAAAAAAGTTGTTCATTGCTCATCAACTCATCCTTCAATTAACTTTCACCAAGGATTAATGCAACCATTATTGTATATCAACAAAAATTTTAAAACTAAACTGATAAGATGAACAACTATGCCAGAGCATGTTATCCAATTCAACTCTATTTAGCTAGTGAGGGTAGAAACTAAAGCATACTCAAGCACAGAAAATCCTAACATAATTACAACTGCATTCTAACAACTAACAATAGCAACTTAACTATTTAAAACATCAGATTGTTCATAAGAGCAATTATCCGGGGTGTACTACAATTTTGTTGGCATTTATGGTGTCAATGTCTTTAAGCGGCTATAAAAGATTCGCCTGCAATAATCTAGTCCCGCAGTGATTTATTAATATAAGATACATTATTTGAAAAAACATGGTATCATATTATAATATTAGCAAGGATAAATACTTTCAATTAGAAGTAGTGAAGACTTCAAGGTGAGGCATGGTGAGATCGGCACAACTTCAATGAATCTTTTATTCCATACATTTACATACACGAATCAATCGCAGAAAATTATAATGCAAGTATATGTTGCTTACGGGACCAACTACATTTATGCAGTGTTTAATGTTATTCTCCTAGAAGTGACTCAAATGTTAATGCTTAGATTGTCATACACAATCCTCATCTCAGAGTTTTCTCCACAAATATCCCACATCACACAACCATATAAATGTGATTGGATCTTGGAATTCAGCTCAACTAACAGAATTTTTTCAATTTCCAATTTTAACCTATAACATATTTTGTGCACAAAATCAGAATAACCCAAAGTAGCAACACAACATATAATTAAATAATTTTCAAAAGAAGAGATTTGTAACTAGATATCAACAAAGCATTTGTTGCTACTCCAAGGAAGCAGAACACAAAAGGAAACAAAATCAAGAACACGGTAAGAACAACTTATCCTTCTTTCTTTTGTCGGAAAGGTCCTATCGGTGACAATGGTGTCTTCGGTTTTAATCTCCGACATCAATCGGCGACCACGAACGGAATAGGCGGACGACGGCTGCTCTGGAGAAGAAGAAAAATGAAACAAAGAAGAAGAAGTAAACGAAGAAAGAAAAGAAATGAAGAAGAAAAGGCGGAAGAAGAAAACAAAGAAGATGAAGAGGAAGAAAGATAAACAAGAAAAAATAGAAACGAAGAAGAAAAAGTAAGAGGAAGAAGAAGGCGAGCGGCGGCTAGGGTTTGATGTTTATATCAGGTTTGGTTTTATTTTATTTTTATCTTTAATTTAAATTATTATATATTAATAGAAAAATAATCAATAATTAGAAGAAATTGAAGATATTTTAATTATTTCTATGAATTAATTTATAATTAGCAATGAAAATATAAAGCATAATAAATTAATTAGTTTCAGTTATAAAATTAAATTTTATAGTAAAATAATAAATTTGAAATAATTGTATATAATTATTTTTTATAATTATAATATTAAAGTTTTTGTTACCGATTGAATTTGCAAAAAAAAAATATATATATTACAACATATTACCTTATATGTAATTGCTACTAATATATTATTGAAATATTTTTAATTTTAAAATAATTTTATATTGATTTTTTTTATTTAAATAGAAAAATTTAATATTAACTTATTTGTTACGGCTTGAAATGCATAACAAATATGTATATGATAACATCTCGTCCAAAATGTGTAATTGTTACGAATAATACCTAAATAAATAGGTTTTTTTTTTAATTTTAAAATAATTCCATATAGATATTATATATATACAAAAATTTTCAACATTTAGATATTTGTTACAGTTTGAGTGCGTAACAAATTTATATAGGATGACATCCCGTCGAAAATGTATTTATTACAGATAAATTATCGAAATAAATATAAAAAAAGGTTGACCAACCGTTAAACTTTTTATTCCGATAAAATTTCATAACAAAAGCCACTTTTTGTAGCAGACTTATTTTGACAGACAAAATACTCGCTACAAAAAGTCAATTTTTTGGTAGTGACTTTTGCAGGAAAAATTTTATTTGCCAGGGATGCGCGCGGACGTGGAACAACACATTACACGTTGCATTACATGTAGACAAGCTAAATCCACAATGCTACCACATAGTTTATATACGCCCCTGCCTACACCCGACACACCTTGGGTAGATTTGAGTATGGACTTTATTTTGGGGCTACCTCGTACAAAGGGAGGTAAGGACTCTATCATGGTTGTTGTCGATAGGTTTTCAAAAATGTCTCACTTTATTCCTTGCAATAAGACGAATGACGCAATGCATATTGCTAATTTGTATTTTAAAGAAGTAGTTAGAATGCATGGAATTTCCAGTACAATTGTATATCATAGGGACACTAAATTCTTGAGCTTTTTCTGGAAAAAATTTTGGGAAAAATTAGGGACGAAACTTCTCTTTTCTACCTCATATCACCCACAAATAGATGGTCAAACGGAAGTAACAAATCACACCCTAGGCACCCTCCTTAGGTGTATTATCAAAAAGAATTTACGTAGTTGAGAAAGTTGTCTCCCTCATGTTGAGTTTGCATATAATCGTGCTATTCATAGTGCTACTAATATGTCCCCTTTTCAAGTAGTGTACGGCTTCAATCCACTTTTTCCAGTTGACCTATTGCCACTACCATATAGTGAGCGACAAAATTTTAATTTCAGGGATCGGGCACAAAAGATTCAGGAGCTTCATAAGACAGTACAAAAGGAAATTGATGTCACCAATGCGCGGAATGCAAAAGCTGCTAATCGTCACCACAAGAAGATTGTCTTCCAACCCGGTGATTGGGTGTGGCTTCACTTACGAAAAAAGAGATTTCCGGCACAGCGCAAGTCTAGGTTGTCCCCATGAGGCGATGGTTCTTTTCAAGTCATTGAATGCATCAACGATAATGCCTACAAACTATACCTCCCAGGTGAGTATATGTCCATGCTACATTTAATGTTATTGACTTATCTCCGTTTGATGTAGGTGACGAGAGGTTGATGGAACAACCTTTTCAAGAGAAGGGGGATGATGTGACCATCATGACAGAATCGGACCCAATCATAATTCCTCATGGACCAATCACTAGAAGCCGAGCCCGTAAATTTCAATTGGCAATTACAAAGTGTGCCAAACTTCAAATGGATGCCACTGCTGAACTCTAAACCGAGGATCAAAATAAACCATGCATTCTTCTGGAATTGGACCACAAGTCCCAAGGACCATAAGACCAGGAGCACCTTACAAAGCATTGGACCTCCCCTAAATAACTATTCCTAATTGAAGGGATCCCGTGAATTAATATCCCTTAAATGAAGGAATACCATAGCTCAAGGGATTATCAATAATCATGGGATTGCCATGAATTATGGGTCAATAATACTAAATAAGACTGATTATAATAAATATCCCCTATATGATTTTATTTCCTTTAAGAGTGTACTTTCTTGTTTTAATTTTACATGGTTCCTCTATAAAAGGTCCCATGATTATCATTGTAAGGATTATTCATTCAATAAAGATATTTTATAAACTGGTTTTTATTTCAAGAGCGATTCTTGTGCTTTTTTTAAGTGTAATCTTGAGTGATTTGGTTACATCTTCATATCCCCAAATCGAGTTGTTTCGAGTGATTTGAAACAAGTCATGGCCTCTCGAATAGTACTGGAACTATTCTTGCCTTACTTTGTATTGTCAACTTGTTTAGAGGATTGTGAGACGTGAGTTTGATCTTTCGTGTTGTCTTCCCGACTACCTCTCAATTCAAGAGAGTCCAGTTTATTCCCATTAATATAGATTTATATCTATTCATCCATCCCTTATTCTGTCCAAATCTTTCCAATATTGTTATTACATATTTATGTGGAATTCGATCCGAACTGTCATCCTTGGCAAGTTCGCATCAGCTTTTTAACCAGTCAAACAACTAAATTTTTTTCAAAAAGTTAAAAACCGTTTGAAAAGCTATTTTCAAACACTTACATGCATAAAATATTATTTTTAATATCAATTAATTTAAATATCACTTAAATTTTGTATAATTAGTATAAATAATACTCTCTCCGTCCCATAAGAATAGTATTATAAGGGTTTGACACATAATTTAAAGAATATCAATGTTATAATGGTAATTGTTAAAAAAAAATTAATAATAATTTTTTTTGCCATTATGGCTGTAGTTGTATAAAAGATAATGAAATTTATGTAATAATAATGAAAATATAATGAAAATTTTATTATAATATGTTTCTTTTCTAAAATGAGACTATTGTTTTAAAACGGAGAAGTAAAGTTTAAATACTTTTAAATAGATCAATATATATATATATGTGTGTGATTTTTAGGATTTTTTAATTATAATAGAAATTCATTGAATAATTTTTGCAATTTTAATTATAAAAAAAAATTCATTAAAATTTATATTTTTAATAAATTAAAATTGATTTGAAATTATGAAATTCATGTGAAAGAAATAATATTATTTTAAATGAAAGCGAAATATATATATATATATAATAAATCAAGGGTATATATAGTGAAAAATCTATTAAAACAATGATAAAAAAAATAATGAGTAAGTAAGAAAATAGTGAAAAAATAATTATATAAATTAAAGTAAGAATAATAACATTATAAATAGGTAATACAACAATTAATTTTAGCAATTTAATATGATGTTTTATATTTTCCATTCTCGTAGATTATGTCACTTTCTTTTCGGCAAACATATGAAGAGAATATATATTAAAAATATTAATTATGTTTAATTTAATCAATGTAATAGTTGTAATAGAGTGAAATATATTTATTTTTATTTAATATTTTATAAATAAAATAAATATTAAATAATTTTGGCATAAATACTATTATATAATTATTTGTAATAATACTATAAAAAAAATTAAATTATTTATAACAAATTATTTCTCATTACTTTAAATATAAATTAAAAAATTTGTTTGGTTATTTATCACAATATTTTTTCTTAAAAATATCAAATAAAATTACTATTTTTTATTTTTATACTATTATATTACAAAAATAATTTCACATTAAAAATATCACATCACTACATATTTGTATAATATTAAAAAATTATTCAAATTAAAAAGTTAAAAATTCAAACTTTAAACTCCCCAGTCTAACAAGTTGGTAGAATTTATTCACATAATTTTACCTCTTAAAAATATCAAATTAAGTTTTTATTTTTTATTTTTTATATTATATTATAGATAAATTTCATAACAAAAATATCACATTAATACATATTCATGTAACTTAATAGTAATTATTCAAATTCAAACATTTTATTATCAAAACTCAAATTTTCAACCCCAACCAAACACATTCTTAAGATTATTTACTTAATTTTTCTTATAAAAATCAAACCCTATTTTTTATTTTTATATTATATTAAAAATAATGTTATATTAAAATTATCATATCTAGCTATTTAAATAATATAAAAAAATTATTCAAATTATAAAATTTTACTATTCAAAATTTAAATTCAAAATCTAAACCTCTAATGATTACACAATTAGATTTTATTCATCGATTTTTTTCTTTCAAAAATATCAAATTAATTTTGTATTTTTATATTATATTAAAATAAATTCTACATTCAAAATATTGTATTAACACATTTTTGTATTGAATAAAAAACTATTTAAATTATTTTTTTATTATTAACACAAACTTAAATACCGTTAAAATTTATTAATTATAAAGTATTTTTTTTTTAAATTTATATTACTTTTACTTTTTAAAATTTCAGCTACATCTTGTCTAATTAAAATAATTGGGAGTAAAAACTAAATAGATTAATTTAAATTAGTTAAAATTTAATAGTGATTAAAATTTTTTTTATTTTACTTTCTTTTAAAGTGACGTATTGAGTGGGACAACTGAAAAAGGAAAAGTGGTATAATTGGGCCGGACAATGGAGTATATAAAAAAAGATCAACAAAACAGTTAATTTATCCCTTGAGCTTGTTGTCGTAAAAAATCACCTCCGGCGGCTTAATCGGAAGCCTGCCAGAATCAATTTGTTTCGAAGGGTTTTCCGGCCTTCTCAAGAAAGGATTTAGGCTATATCGCGATGATAAAAAAAAATTGATGTAAAAAGAAGGGAAAATAAAGCTAATAAAACAAGAATGAAGCTGGAATTAAT